GTTAATAAGGGACGCCGGTCAGGCTACCTTATATTTAGATAGAATTATGAGGTTTGCTAGACTAATTTATGTTTTGAAAATTGGGGATTTGATTCGTTGATACTTCGTGAGGCCCATGATGTTAGGTACTCTATCCACCCAGCCACCACAAAGATGTATCTCGACTTGAGGTAGCACTATTAGTGAAGCGACATAAGGAGAGATAATGTAGATTATGCGTCCTATTGCCTCTACTGCTATTAGGTGAAGGTTGAGCATTTGAGGTCTGATTATGAGTTTGAGAGATTACCCATTTAGGAGGGAAAGGGGGACCACATCACTATGGATATTGTTGTGGGTTTGCCTCGAACTTCTAGAGGTGTTGACAGCATTTGGATCATCTTTGATTGATTGACCAAGTCATCACACTTCCTCCCTGTTCAATCTTCATTCAATACTACGAGGTTGGCCCATATATACATTCGAGATGTGGTCCATCTTCATGGTGTGCCTATATATATCATATTAATTAGATCAGGGTGCCTAGTTCACTTCTAGCTTTTGGAGGACCATTCAGGAGGAGTTACGCACCCATGTCGATCTTAACACAGTTTTCCACTTACAGACTGAAGGTCAACCCGAGTGTACTATTCAGGTTCTTGAGGATATATTGTGGGCTTGTGTTTTGCAGTTCAGAGGCCAGTGGGAAAAGTTCTTGCCTTGGAGGAGTTTACATACAACAACATCTACAACAACATGTGACAGGGGTATTCACCTCTTGTCTCTCTGTAAGGATCATGGGTACTCACCTCTTAACCAAATCATATCTTAAGAACATGGGGAGTCGCCTCTTGTTCAACTTTAAGGAATAAGGGTAATCACATCTTTATTCTACTTCATGGAATATGGCTAATCGCCTCATAGCCATCTCATTTGGAGGTCATGGGAATCACCTCTAGCTTCATCAATATCTTAGTCATTAACATTAGATTCATTTTAGTTGAGCAATCTTTTTAACCCAAAATAATTCAAGGTGATAAAACCTTTCACATGCATAACATAAGCAATTCATGTGGGAACTATCCCTTCCACAACATTTACATCAAAATTCAACAATTGAAAACATAATCTTTACTCTCAAAGCACTATATCTCATAGTCATTCTATATGCTCAATCTCAAGCAATTCAATATCATTATCATAACATAAGATTCAATCTCAAAGCAATCCTAATCATGATTCATCATATATAGGGTTCAATTCTAATGTATCTCATCAATCCTAGATTGAATACATCTAAACCCACAAATTCTCCTTTTATGGCATAAAACACATCTACGGTTCGTAGTCCCTTCCACGGGTCGTGGGTGGCAGACGTGGGTTGCACCTGCAAATTTCTAGGAATTGTTTTCATTTCCCTTTTCAAGATACGGGGTGTTACAGTATCTCCCTCATTGTGACCATTCATCCTCGAATGAGATTCAAGCTGGTTCTAAAAGAGTAGGAGAGGAACTAACAACCTAACCTACAAGGCAATGCATACAACCAAGGAGAAACTATCGAATCCAAGCTAAGACGTTCTCAAAACATCATAGGAAGGGTGAAATTAAATCTATCAGCCCATTATGCATGCAATGCACATAAACAAGGAGGAAACATCAACTCCAAGCTAATCATACTCAAATGCATTATAAGGAAGTATGAACTATATCTTGCAACCCAATATGCATGAAATTTCAAAATTTCTCATATTCAAGGAGGAACTACCTTCTCCAAGCTAAAAACATGCTCAACACAATCTCATGGAGCCCATATGCAATTTACTCTCAAAAAGCATAGCCAAAGCATGTTCATCAATTCATATCATGAAGTCTATTGGCACCTCATACTCAATGCACAACAACATGAGAAAAATCAATCATATAAACTCATTTTCTTTCAAAACACAAGTTTTCATGAACATGCATCACATAAGGAAATCATGGAAAGACATAAAACACATGACTTCCCAAAACAAAAGACAAACCAAGAGGAACTCATTACCTCAAGCTAGAGTAGAAGTATAAGGAAGGAGATGAGGATATTGGGACATCATATCGGCCTCGGCCTCCCAAGTAGCACCCTCAACTAACTGATTCCTCAACAATACTTTCACAGAAGCTATTTCCTTGTTTCCCAACTTCTTAACTTGCCGATCTAGTATCTCTATCAGAACTTCCTCATAAGAAAGACTTTCATCAACTCCCAACCCTTCTAAGGTAACTATGGATGTCAAATCTCCAACACACTTCTTAAGCATAGAGACATGGTAAACAAGATGCACTGTTGCCAACTCATTTGGAAAATCTAACTCATAAGCAACCTTACTAACACGCCTCAATATCTGATATGGGCCTACATAACGGGGAGTAAGCTTCCCCTTCTTACGAAACCTCATAACACCCTTCACGGGTGAGTAAACCCAATCGTTAACATCAAACTCTAGATCTCTTCTTCTCACATCGAGATATGACTTTTGCTGGCTTTGAGACATTTTTAACCTCTCTCTAATAAGCCGGACTTTCTCCATAGCCTCATGAACTAACTCGGGTCCTATCAAGGCAACTTCACCCACCTCAAACCAACCTATAGGAGATCTACACCTCATACCATAAAAAGCTTCAAAGGGAGCCATACCAATACTAGAATGGTAGTTATTATTATAAGCAAACTCAATCAATGGAAAGTGATCATCGTAATTTCCCTTGAAATTGATAACACACACTCTCAACATATCCTCTAAACCCGCTACGCTTGCCTATCGATTTGTGGGTGAAAAGTCGTACTAAGCTTCACCTTAGTGCCAAGACCCTTTTGGAATGACTTCCAAAACTGGGAAGTAAATTGAGTACCTCTATCGAAGATAATGGACAAGGGTACCCCATGCAATCTTACCATTTCCCTAAAATATAACTTGGCATAGTCCTCTGCCGCATAAGAAACTTTGACGGGAATGAAATGGGCCGATTTCGTCATTTGGTCTACTATGACCCAAATCAAATCATATTGTCGCCGAGTACATGGCAACCCTACTATAAAGTCCATATTCAAGTCTTCCCACTTCCAAGTAGGAATGTTAATGTCTTGGGATAAACCTCCCTATTCTGATGCTCAACTTTCACTTGTTGGCAATTTGTACACTTAGCCACAAATCCCGCAATATATTTCTTCATCCTATTCCACCAATAGACCTCCCGCAAATCACGGTACATCTTGGTGGCTCCTAGGTGAATGGAATATCGAGAACTATGTGCTTCTGTCAAGATTTGTTCCCTTGAATCATTAACGTTAGGAACATATAATCGACCTTGATATCTAAGTGCACCATCTCCCCCTTGGGAGAAAGTCTCAACGGACTTCTTGAGCACCGCTTTTTTAAATTCTACTAAAGTTGGATCTACACATTTCTTAGCTTTCACATCACTCACAAAAGACGATTCGGAACCATTATGGACTATAACACCACCCTTGGTGGAATCCACTAGCTGAACACCCAAACGGGCCAATCTATGTACATCTCATACCAATTCTTTCTTATCATCATCAATGTGAGCAACACTACCCATAGACAACCTACTAAGAGCATCCACTACCACATTCGCCTTACCGGGGTGATAGAGATCTCTCATATCATAATATTTCAATAACTCAAGCCACCTTCTTTGGCGAAGATTCGGATCTTTCTAATTAAACATATATTGCAAGCTCTTGTAGTCGGTGAACACATCTATATGAACACCATACAAATAGTGCCTTCATATATTTAAGGCAAAAACCACCGCCGCTAATTCAAGATCATTGGTAGGATAATTCTTCTCATGAATTTTAAGTTGCCTTAAGGCATAGGCAATAACTTTCCAACTTTTCATAAGAACACATCCTAAACCAATTCTTGAGGCATCACAATAAACCACAAAATCATCCGTCCCTTCCAGTAAGGTCAACACTGGAGCGGAAGTAAGTCTATCCTTCAACACTTGGAAACTCTTCTCACATAATTCGGACCATATAAACTTAGCCATCTTTTGAGTAAAAGCCGTCAATGGAGAGGCGATAGAAGAAAACCCCTCAACAAACCGTCCGGTAATAACTGGCCCAACCCAAGAAACTTCTAATGCCCAAAGGTGATAGAGGTCTAGGCCAACTCTTGACCGCATCCGTCTTCTTAGGATCTACCTCAATACCCTTACTTGAAACAATATGACCAAGGAAAGCTACAAACCTTAACCAAAACTAACACTTGCTAAACTTTGCTAAGAGTTGTTGTTCCTTAAGGATTTGGAGCACAATCCTCAAATGATTATTGTGGTCTTCCTCACTCCTTGAATAGATCAAAATATCATCAATGAACACAATTATGAACATATCAAGTTATTGTATAAACACCCTATTCATCAAATCCATAAATGTTGCCGGAGCATTAGTCAAGACAAACGACATCACCAAGAACTCATAATGACCATATCGGGTTCTAAAAGCCTTTTTCGGATTGTCTTCTTCTTCCACTCTCAACTGGTGACAGCCCGACCTAAGGTCAATCTTAGAGAAATAACTTGCACCTTGGAGTTGGTCAAATAGATCATTTATCCTTGGAAGAAGATACTTATTCTTAATGGTCACCTTGTTGAATTGTCGATAGTCGATACACATTCAGAGTGAATCATCCTTCTTCTTAACAAACAAACCTAGAGCACCCCATGGAGAGATACTCGGTCCGGATAAAACCCTTATCCAACAAATCTTTCAATTGTTCCTTTAACTCTTTAAGTTCTATCGGAGCCATTCTATAAGGAGGAATTGAAATAGACTGCATATCTGGGAGAAGGTCAATACCAAAATCTTTTTCCCTTTCTAGGGAACACCGGGTAAATCATCTGGGAACACTTCCAGATACTCATTTACAATGGGGACCAACTCAAGACTAGGGTTTTAGGAATCCATATCCCTCACTCTAACTAAATGGTACAAGCAACCCTTGTAAATCATCTTTCTGGCTTTAAAATAAGAAATAAACCGACCTTTTGGCATAGGTTTCCCCTCTTCCACTCTAGGACAAGCTCATTCGGGAACTGAAACTTGACTACTCGGTTTCTACAATTAATAGAAGCATAGCAAGAGTGTAACCAATCCATCCCAAGGATGACATCAAAATCTAGCATATGAAGCTCTATCAAGTCAACAAGAGTAACTCTATGAGATAAGGAGATGGGACACTTTCTATAAACTCTGTCCGCCAACACAGAATCACCAACAGGAGTAGAGACAGAAAAAGGATCTAATAGCACATCGACGAGCACATCAAATCTCACAGCCACATATGGCGTCACAAAAGACAAATTAGCACCAGGATCAAGTAAAGCATATATATCAATTTGGAAAACTTTCAACATACCGGTAACCACATCGAAAGAACCCTCTTGTTCAACTCGAGTCTGAAAAGCATAAAACCTATTTTTCTTAGGAGCATTCGATCCCGAACAACTTGGACTGAAAGAAAGATATGGTTGAGCCCTACGATGATTATCTCCCTCATTCTTATCAATCGAAGAACAATCCCTTATCTTGTGATCCGTCTTACCACAACCAAAACAGGCATTGGAAACTGCTACACATTTGCGCTCATGCTTTCTCCCACACTTAGCACAATTAGGCAAAGAAGACCCATTACCACCTCCTTGAAGCTTAGGGTTAGACACCTTTCATTGTTGAACCTTGGGGGATCCTTAGAAGAACCTCTCCCGGAAAATCTTTGTTAAAACCTTGAACAACGACGTCTACTAGACCTAGAGTATGAATAGTTACCATCATTTGTTCTTACCTTTTTGATTATCTAGACATCTCTTTGAGCTTTTCCTCTTCATGTTGGGCATGGACCATGAGACGAGACATATCCATGTCATGGACAAGCATAGTCGTACGACACTATTTTACAACTAATTAGGACACACTCGAAACGAACTTACTCATCCTTGCCCTAGGGTCGGCAACTGTAGAAGGAGCATACTTAGACAATTTAGTGAATCTCAAGGCATATTCTTTCACACTCAAATTTCCTTGTCGAAGATTAATGAACTCAAGCACTTTAGGCTCCCTCATCTCAAGGGGAAAGAATCTATCAAAAAAAGCGGACTTAAACCTCTCCCATTCCTAGGGGACCCGCATCTATCGGTCTTGCTTCCTTCCATTGGTTGAACCAAATTTGTGCCACATCTTTGAGTTGACCAGCGGCCAATTCCGCCTTTTCTACCAGAGTCACCACTATAATAGTCAACACCTTGTAAACCTCATCAATGAACTCTTGAGGAACTTCCTTAACCTTTGAACCATAGAATTCTGGAAAATTCATTCTTGTGAAATCCTGCACTCTTGATGCCGCCATACCCACATTTGAGTTCATGGGTTGATAACCTCCTTATCGGCTTGGACCATCACGGCTTGAGCCAACACTTGAAAATCCATTCTAAACTGTGCATTAGCCATTGGTCGGCAAAAGGGTCAACCAAAGCTTGAGGAGCTTGGGGAAGGGCTCCTTGGTTAATCTCTTCTCCCTCGGTCCTTCTCAAAAGCTTTTCTAGTAGTCATATTCCGTAGACCATCAAGTAAGGATTAGGAGAAAGGCCTTATAGAGTTAAGCTCTATCGCACGACTTAAGGAAATGAAAAAGTGAAGTTTCCTAGGCATCTAATAGCTTCTCATTCATAAATGTTACGCGCTTCAC